AAACCAAACTTTGTGCACGCAGCAATGACTTAGGGGCGCTGAGGTCGCCTGAATACACGGGATGCGAAGGCGGCTCCTGTGAGGCATGTAGAGGGGGGTTTAGGAGCCAATATCTGCACGCCTCGGGTATCCGCTATATGACAAGCGGTTGCGTCTTGTTTTAGAGAGCAACAGAACTCTGCTTAACTTGCAATACCATAAAATTTATTCTAGACTCGCAGGCAAAGTAGAATAATGTTGTCGTGAAATAGCACTATTTTCCCGTTTTTTCGTTGTACACTCTAGGTATTATTAGCTCTTGATGTTATCTGTTGCGTGAAATTCAAATACAGGTCCGTTTTACGACAGGGTTAGGTTCCAGAAAAACAGGGTTGTAAAATGAAAAGTCGTAAAGCAAGACCAAATTGTAATGCAATTAAATGCTATCATTCCACCCATTATGCACCACACAAAAAACGAAATCTAAGCGCATATTGCGTGTTTGGACTCACAGACGTTGCTACGATGTGTTTATTGAGTTACGATTTTTTTGTTATTTACAATTTTTAGGTAATTTTGAAAAGGTCGTTAAATGTAAAAAGTCGTAAAATGGACCATCGTAAAACGGGAAAACGGGAAAACGGGACCTACCTGTACATGTGTACATACAGATTGCTGTTCCTGTAAAAAAACAAGACCTGTATGTGAAGTGTTGAATAGTCTAGGTTCGAAAATTAAACGATCTAGTCTAAATGCTATACAGTTTAGCTTATGCCGTAGCTAAGTGAAGCTGGCTGATTCTGGGTTAGGTGCTGGTAGGTTGTTTATTGGAAAACTAACAATGAATTCGCTGTAATTATGAATATTATTTTACAGTTAATAGTTGAATGAAAGCCTAGTTTGTGGTCATAATGTACAAATTACGTATTTTACATAACCCATGTTGTCGTAATGTATGGTATTAGTGTAATGGCTGATAACAATTATCTTGGGGCAGCTACATTTTAAAGTGTGTTGTTCAAATTAAAAGTAGCCACATTCACGTCTAAGTATTTGTGTCTCGTCTCAGCACAGAAATATATCAGGTAAAGCTTTGATGTGGGAAGGTTATGCTTGCTGGGAAGACACGCCCTTCAAATTATTGATAATTCAATGACAGAAACACGAGAAGTCGCTATTGGTATGTGCGATTAATCGTGTTTTTCTTTGCCGCCAGGTGGGGCCAGTAGTTAAGTTGCAGATGGGGATTGAGCCTGCGTTCTATGTGGATACAAACATACCAACGCATTGTTTCAACCCTTGTGGTCACATGGCTTCCGAACAAACTGTCAAGTGAGTGGACATATATCTTTAATATTGGGTTTAAATTTGGGAATTTCTATTTAACTTCAGGCTTTCCTAATTTAAAACGTAAAATGTGCACTTATTGTACATGGGTGGGGGTGCGGGGGAACAATGCCCCATACGCAATGGGACAGGGCTGCTTTATATGGGTGAATATAAGTTACTGATTGAATTGTAAGTTGAAATATTTTGTCATTGTGGAAATATCCCCCACATCATATCTATATCTATATATCATAATTATATCTATATCATCTGGTTAGTGTTTAATTAAAATGTTTCCAATTTGTCTAGCGTAAATCTCAATGGCTGATCTGTGGTGTTCTAGGTACTGGGCATCCGTTCCGCTTCCCTATGGCTGCCACGGTTTCCGAGCAGCGTGTCCCTTCTGTGCCATTCCTCTCATCAGCGACACAGGATGGCAGAAGCTCATATTCCAGGACTATGTCGATTAATGCCCTGGGAGACGAGGAAATGACAATATATATATCGACTGATGCCCCTGGTAACATGGTGTCGAAATCGGCTGCATGTTTGCCCGTTCAGGCCACGTGACATTGTCCAAGTGGCTAAAGAGGGTGATCGTGTATCACTGGCTGTCAGCTGCTCATTGTTTAACCGATCGCATCTCGATCGTATGGGAGGAAAAAGACTGCATTCTGTCCTAAGGCAGGTTGGCACGAAAATGTTCTGCTCTGTGATTGGTTCTCATTGTCCCATCTCAGTTCCCACAAGAGCTGGCTGGTCTGGTCATTCCTTATAGTGTAGGTATTGACCAGGTCTGAATTGACCACAGTGTTTATTATACTGTCTTCACAGACTAGTGTCTGCCCTGACAACAACAACTTCTGCATTGACCAGTGTTTACATTGACTGTAGTGTAAACACTTGCCAGTATCTACACTGGTAAATGTTTACACTGACTAGTGTGGTTTTGTACACTTAGCACGTGGTGTGTCTACTATCCCCACCGTTGCTGGGGACAAAGTTTCTACTCATTACGAAATGCTGCGCCTGATAACCATTCTTTAAATGCCTCTGATACGCTGGGTTGTTAGGATGACTGGTTTGCAGCTATAGACTATAGCTCATTAGAGCTAACATCGCTGGCACTTGGAGGTAAAGTGAAATGTGTCAGCATTGTCGATTGCGTATGATAGCAATTGGAACACTGTTGTGGGTAACGTAAAGGGGGAAAGCTGGGTATGTTAATAACCAGTCTGATGAAAGGCAGTCTAGTAATGAAGCACACCAGTATAGGCGGTGCTAGCATTATCCACGGATAGCTAACGGTGGTTAGCAAGCAAAGCTTGCTTATGTTGCTTAATCACGCATGGCATAGCTGCCAAGTGAGAGGCAGAGGAAGAGGCTGATCAAGCCTGATCAGGATTAGGTTAAAGTAATGGCGAATTTACACATGAGAAAACATGTCAACGTGTTACGGGGTATTAAAGAGTAGTGGTAAATATTATCTGCATAAACGTGTGACAGGTATAAAAAAAAAATTCCACTAGACACTGGGAGGTATTTCACTAGCGTATTTGCTGCATTGTAACTATTATGATAGTTTGATGCATTATTGCTATTGCATAATCTAACCACTAAAAGCAAAGTGTGATATTATGATAAGAGAGCGTTGGTTCATCTAGAGACCTAATAACGACACCAGCTGTAGACAGGGTTAGTATGAAAGAACATACGTTTATATAGTTATGTTATGAGTTGTTGCATGCGTTACAAAGCATTTGCAAATGCAATTCGAAGTTCGAAATATGAAGTGTTTTCGGCAAATATTAGCTTCATAATAGTTGCCTGTATTCAGGTTCAGCCTTATATTTTTAATATGTCATTGCGAAGTTGCATTGTCTAGCTATCAAATCGTTGGGTGAAAATAATTGTGCGGTTAAACTGCATTTCTGATGTACTGCCCTGAACGCTAAGGCTCCTAAGCTGAATACGTACGTTTTAATTGTATAAATACGGGGAATGAGTGCAAATAGCATGTGCGGGGGGGTTACTGTTGTATTTTTTCATCATAGTGAGATGTAAAAGTCGAATGCGTAAATGACTTTTCTTATTACAAGCGACTCATTGTGAAGCAGTGTTCTCACCACATGAGAACGCGGCCTCTCACCTCAAAGTGCAAATACCATTATAAGCATTAATTAAGTACGGCAATGCAGGACAATTATTGTATATACATCGTAGAAGTAAAGATCTGAGTTATTAATTAACTTCCCTCGGCGCTGGCAATAGAAGCTGTATAGAGGTATAGAGGAAGGAAAAGGGATGATTTTTTCTCAATAGTGAAAATGCATGATGTTTGTATGTAAATAATATACATAAATGAGTTTTATTGTAAGTGCTAGAGCTTCAGACCTTCTGTACGAACGTAGGTGTCTCTAGTTCTCTCGCCATCTCTTGGGCTGTAATATTAGTATGAATAGATTCTTTCTGAGCTGTGCCATCGGTTGATATTAGACGTGTAAGCACTACTATTAAGTATACTATTAAGTAATAATGCCGTCGGCTCGTTTCTACGCCTGTGTAATGTTCTAGCGTGTTCTCTAGAGGGTTTGCAGTAATCAAAGTGACCCCGTTTCGAGTGTGGAAGAGATGTGCAATTCAGGAAGCTATCAGCTGGCGTTCCCCAGCTCTGCGTGCAATCTAGTATGCCGCCAGATGGCGTTGCACGTCATGTTCACGTGTAGGTCATCAGAGCACGTATATCATATTATCATATTATGATACTACACGATATTATATGATATACGTGCTCTGTGGCCATGATACGGCGAGCAGGTATGAATGATGAAGTGTGAGAGTAGAGTTTAGCTGGCCAGTGAGTAACACGTGTTATCTCGCCACCACAGCAACCAACAAACAATGTCAGAAACGCCAATAATAAAGCAATTATTATAATAGTAATAACAACTCTCCCCTCGTGTCCAACATAATATCAGAGGTTAATAATGACAAATGTGTCATTATTAACTCCTGATAATATGTTCCCTCCCGTCCGCAATACTGTCAGTCATCTGACATGACTTATTTAGCAGGTCTATTTTGAAAATCATTAGTGTAACGCCTGTATGGCGTGTAATACAAGCAGGTGTCTGCCGCGGGCATGTGTAAAAGTTAGTCCGGCTCTCAGGTTGTGAGCCTGAGATGTCATCAATATCGCAACTAGTTTCAACCAGTGTCTGGAGTAAAATGTACAATAGGGTTTCTGGTAACGCAGCGAGTTTCAGAAATGCATGGCGATTTCTTTGAAATTATTTTAAAGTTAAAAGGTACGATTTCAAACCCTTTGACTCTTAATTATGTCGATAGCATGACTTGAATTTTCAATTTTCTACTTAGGATTACAATTACAATTAGGATACATTGTTATTATTACTTGAATTTTACTTGGTCTGATCTTCTGCAAGGCTAAACTGCAATCGTTTATCCTTATCTTGTATAATGCATATAATTTTATTTTAATTTGGAGGAGCCTATTTAGTCTAGTCCAGCTGTATTTAAGCTCACACATATCAATGCTCTCACAAAATATATACATAGTGTAAATAAAATTGGAGTTAGCGTTTATTGAGCTGCGCTACAAATGTAATAGACTCGGGTTTCGATAGAAAAGTGAGTTAGCATTAACGATGATGAAGCCCTCGTTAGCGGGAAGTAGTGTATTTATGTGTAATTGTGTACAGCGAGTACGTTGACGATATCTTCTTCCACTTCTGCACTGCTGCTTTTGATACATGTATATGATAAAAAATTATATAAAAATTGTGAAATTTATATCCGCTATTTTATTGAATTTCTTTTATATTTCCGTCAATATTGTATATCATATGATGATGTTGGGTACCTGACGTAATGCAGAAATGGTAACGATATGAAAATACTAAGCGGTATTAAAATGATACGTGTGAGAAAAATAACAGGATCCAATATCAATGGAAATCTGGACGATTGTAATGAATGATAAATCTAAAAGGAGAAACATTATTTTTCCTATCCACGAATGAAACAAGTTTTCCAGATTATCAACGCGTAATAAAACACCACGGTGGAAGAGCTTTGGCTTCGATCGATTTCATTTTAGTGGATACGTAGTGGCGATACAGATTTTTGCCACGTACTGGTAACGACGTGCTGATTTCGCACTCCATCCCTCCCGTCTTGGTTCTGCCATTGCACAGCGTACACTTACTCACTTATAAGCTCATATACACATATTAAGTATATTATGGACGCAAAACCATTTTGGCATTTCTAAAAGCCATCAGTCCGCCATCAGCCTGATGCCATTTGGATCAGCTTGGTGGCAAACCAATTTAGTAATCCCTCGATACACACAGACGCCAATGGTGTGGGTGCTGCCAATATTACAATAAACAAACTGAAATTGTACATTAACTGTAGAAAGAATACGCACCAGTAGTTTCTACTTAAATGTCTGTTCCAACGACTTGCGTTAATATTTTAAATGCATTTGATAATATAATTAATACATGTGTAATAATGTAAGTAATATGTAGTAATATATGTATAATAATTATGCATGCTTATTATATGCCAAAATAATATTCTATTGAAGTTATACAATTAAAGTACACTGTACATACTAGTTTGACGTGAAATGTATGTTCCAATGCCGTATTTTAATAATTTCTAGTATATGCAAAAAGAAATAATATAATATTGAAGAACGCATTTAGACGTCGTCTAAATTATTATGTAAAATAAATGTCAATCGGATAAAATAATACGGTGCGAAAAATCAATCTACAATAGCACATTATATAAGAGCAACAATAGTCTGACACAAAATTAGAAATTAGCCTACTGAAACAACAAAACTCAAAATAATAGAATATGTAAGTATATGAAGCGATTCAATGTGTTTAATTGATCCCGTATTCGTTACCCGGCCCCCCCCCCACTCAGTGTTATTTAGGGTACGGTTATGCTCGTTCCTTCCCTTTGAAAGCACCTCCCTATCTCAGGACTGCCAAAATTTCTGAACCCCCCTTTCGTGGGCTTTTTGCGGGGTTTTCCTGCCTTGGAGACCCCCCTAAATCCGAAATAATCCTGAATGAGCTTTCAAAACTAGCAGGAATTTCAGGAATTTGATCTCGGGATTTGATCAAGTTTTCTATGATATTCAAGATGAAAGAGAGAGAGAAAAAACACCCCTTTTTTAAAGAAATCTCCGGGTGAAGTCAAATACACCCCTTTTTTTACAATTCTTGGGCCGGATTTTGTCGCGCGAAAAATACCCTTTTACCGGAAATTTTGGGAACGCGCATGCGGTCCCTCCGACCTCGGAGTGGGGGGCCCGGGATTCGTTAACACACCGACTTACCTTCTGCTTGGTAGTGCATGCAATCGACAGCGACGACATGTATGGGATTATTAATTTTATTCACATACCAGTAAAAAGATAATCTCGAGGCTGTTGAAATCAAGAGGCAATTTTTCGTTAATCATATACGCCTACGATATTTCATGCTACCAGCAGTGAAGCTTATTCAGATTACATTAGATTATAACCTCATAACCTCATAAATATTAGTCTTCAAAAGTGTTAGGGACTATACAGAAGAAGGAGAGAGAAGTAGATCAAATCGATAGATTAACACTGCGGATTGCAGTGGAAAAAGTTTCAATTTTGCAATTTACCAATGATGAAGGAAGAGAATTCCAATACGGAATAACAGAAACAAAAAAGCTAAACTTATAGGATCCTTAAAAGATGACACATGCCGAAAACAATGATTACGCTCAGATGATCGAGTGCATCGGAAAAGCATCATTAAGCATAGCTCTAGTAACTATAGCCCGCGTACAGTTGCCGCAGGCAAGCTGCTACCACTGCTGATGCTGCTACTGTTGCTGTTCTGTACTACGGCTCACGAATGCTCGCGCTACCAGCAACTGTTCTTTGATCCACGAACAAAGGTGCGATTTACGATTTATAATGGTCGCGTTGCATCGTATAGCTTTATACTCACTCGCACGATAATTTTACGCGGGTCATACTTAGCACGCATTACAATAGTGATAATGATTACCATGTTCCAGCAAGCACGCGCGTTCTATAACGCGGTTTCTATAACGCGTCGTTCGTCTACACTATAAACACGTCCCGCGCGTGTTTAGTGAATGAATGCGGTTGCTCGTTACAGGCCCCTACTCGCCACTCGTTCACGCAGCGCTATCCTCGAAGAGCGCAGGGAGCGAGCGGCGAACACCTCACAGAGGGCAGCACATGTAATGAGGCTGCTCGCCATTGTGGCGGCTGAGGAGAAGAGGAGGGTGGATGCGGCGGCGCTGCTGCACGCTCGGTAAGGGTCAGTGAGAATTTAGCACGACTACGCGCGATCCGTAGCTACGGTTAGAGCGGGTGACGACCGAGAGTTACACACGTGTGTGAGTGCGAACACCACGATTCGTTGCAGGGCGACGTCGGCCGCCGACGCTCGCAGCCGCATTCTGCAGAAGCGCGTCGAGACGGTGGCCAGGGCTGCTCAGAGGGCAGCACAGGCGGTGAGGAAGATCGCCGTCGTCGCAGCCATGCAGGAGAGGCAGAGAGTGGTGCGCGATCGGTGAGTGACGGCAGACTTGTAGCGACAAAACCCGCGCCTCACAACGTCAACGAGGCATCTAGCGGTACGGTTGCCCTCCTTACTGGTCGTGATTCCCCAAAAATTCGACTATATCTACGTCAACAAACCGCCTGTCCTAATATGTTTGCCTGTGTGCTCTTCTATGAATCCTAAGCAGGGTATATACCCCTCTTTTCTCCCACGTGAAAATTCATAGTGAAAAAAAGGTGATAACCATTTCTTTGAAGCGGTGTTTGTTGAGGCGACCAACTCGCAATGCCCTAAGATATATAGTTCAACTCGCCACTGTATCGTTCTGTTGCACGACGGCAATAGCGGTGAGAGTGTAGCAGACGGCGCAGCTGATGGCAGTCTTCTTTCTGCAGGGTCGAGGCGGCCGAGGAGAGGCGTATAGCCGCGCCCGCTACCAGCTGCTAGAGAACAGACGCCGAGAAGCTGTGCAGAGGCGGGCGGAGGTCGTCGCCGCCGCTGCCGCCGTCGCCGCCGTCGCCGCTGCTGATGTTGTTGCTAATGTTGTCGCTGCTGCGGCTGATGCTGCCACCGCTGCCGCGGATGCTGCCAACGACAATGTTACCGCCACTGCCGTTACTGATGTCACCGACACTGACACCGGCGTTATCACTGACGCCACTCCTGCCGCTGCTGCCGCAAACGTTGTTACTGATGCTGCAGCTGACGCCACTACTTGTTCCACCACTGTCGCCGCCGCCGCCGCCGCTGCCGCCGCTGCCACTGCTGCCGCTGCCGCTGCTTACAACGCTGTTACCGCCACTGCCGCTGCTGCCACCGCCGCTGCAGCTGATGCTGACACCGCCACTGACACAGCCATTGCCACAGACGCTGTCGCCGCTGCTGCCACTGTCGCTATCGCTGACGCCACTCCTGCTGCCTCTGCCGCTAACGCAGACGTCACTACTGGTACCGCCACTGCCGGCAATGCTTCCGCCGCTGACGACGCTATTACCGCTACTGTCATTGCTGCCACCGCCACTGCAGTTGATGTTGACGCTGACACTGACACCGTCATTTCTATAGACGCTGTCGCCGCTGCTGTCACTGTCGCTATTGCTGACGCCACTCCTGCTGCCTCTGGCGCTAATTTTGACGCCATTACTGGTACCGCCACTGCCGGCAATGCTTTCGCCGCTAACGATGTTGTTACCGTCACTGCCGCTGCTGCCACGGCCGCTGCAGTTGATGTTGACGCTGACACTGACACCGCCATTGCCACAGACGCTGCTGCTGCCACTGTCGCTATTGCTGACGCCACTCCTGCGGCCGCTGCCGCTAACGCAGACGTCACTACTGGTACCGCCACTGCCGGCAATGCTTCCGCCGCTGACGACGCTATCACCGTCACTGCCGCTGCTGCCACCGCCGCTGCAGTTGATGTTGACGCTGACACTGACACCGCCATTGCCACAGACGCTGTCGCTGCTGCTGCCGTTGCCGCTGCTTACGATGCTGTTACCGCCACTGCCACTGACGTTGTCGCTGATTCTGTCGCTAATGCTGCCACCGCCACTGCAGTTAATGTTGACGCTGACACTGACACCGCCATTGCCACAGACGCTGTCGCTGCTGCTGCCGTTGCCGCTGCTTACGATGCTGTTACCGCCACTGCCACTGATGTTGTCGCTGATTCTGTCGCTAATGCTGCCACCGCCACTGCAGTTAATGTTGACGCTGACACTGACACCGCCATTGCCACAGACGCTGTCGCTGCTGCTGCCGTTGCCGCTGCTTACGATGCTGTTACCGCCACTGCCACTGATGTTGTCGCTGATTCTGTCGCTAATGCTGCCACCGCCACTGCAGTTAATGTTGACGCTGACACTGACACCGCCATTGCCACAGACGCTGTCGCTGCTGCTGCCGTTGCCGCTGCTTACGATGCTGTTACCGCCACTGCCACTGATGTTGTCGCTGATTCTGTCGCTAATGCTGCCACCGCCACTGCCGCGGCCGATGCCGCTGCCAACGTCGCTATTACCG